ATTCTTAACCCCGAGATGATGGTCACCGATGGTTAGAGACACTGAGTGATATGGCTGGGTGTCGCAAACAGTGGCGCTCATGCATCTACTCATCATTCTTGTGACATCAGTCTATATAAATTCTCTATCTTCACCTTTAATTTACTATTAACACTCTAATCTTCATTCTGCTCTTTTATCCAAATGGGAAGCCAAAAGAAAGCAACCAAAACTGGCGCACAAAAGTGCATGGTTAATGAGTGTAAGAACTGAACTGAACTGTTTAACCACACAGACTCCTGTTGTGTCGTAGTCATAATGGACGCAGTAGACATCCGTTTTCTAGAAACGTGTTTCTTTTTCTCCAAAATTGAGTAGGCCATACGTACACTTAAGCTCCACCGACAGGTTACCATACTCCTGATGAAGCTTGACGGTGGAATGAATTCACAATTTTTTGATCGGGGTTTAACTCACTTACTTGTGAGTAGTGCTGCACAAAAAGCAAAAGTCTTTGCTGACCTCAGCACTCCGTGTGACTATAGTGACATATGAAACAGTCCGTTTGACATGATTATGAATTACTGAGAGATTATTGTTGTTATTTTTTGCGATATGTTTGACGTGAATTTTAGCTCATTTGAATTCAATCCCTTGTTTCAGCAAGTAACTAGTAGCGCTCAAATCGCAGCGCAAAACTAGAAAAGAAAATCGGTTTGTCATGCTGGAAACAATACGGAAGGCCTTAAACGAATATATTCGAGACAAAAACTGTAAGACCTGTGAGAAATTTGATAATTTTCTTTTAGCGAAAACATGTGAGCTGTGCTATGATCTCATACAAAATTATTTTCAAACGTGGAAAGTCAGTCAGCCATTTTTGTGCCCGCCGGAAATTATTCTTTACACCAGTGTTTGTGCGATCAAGGTGAGAAAGTTCGTTCACTCCCACTTCAATCACGTGTATCTCTTAGGAAAGTAAACCGACGATCGCCAAGGAGTTGATCCGGATCTATGAAGAAGTATTTACTAACACGGATGAACTGTTTGCTGTGTGTCAACTGATCAAAGCAGAGATGCTCTTACCGTCTGTGAATGCCGATATGGTATGCTCAAATTTACATGAATATAACCAGAATCACCGCAAATTTTATTTTATTTTTAGAATAATCTGGATGCAATGATCAAATTGATCAACAAGTGTATCACAATCTCTAATCGTGTGAAAAACGAGAATATTTTGGCCACTGCCTGTGCCACTCTATACAGAGCCATTTATGTCTATCTTCGGCCATCCACCAGACCAAACGCAATCAAATATCTTAAACCGATTGTGAAATTGTTATCAGAGAGTGAGGCAAAAGCTTACAAATGGCAGATATTATTCATACGGTAAGCTTTGGCAACCGGAAGTCCGCATTGAATGTTGTTTATCAATGACTCTCGGCAGCAAAACCTAAAGAAGCAAACTTTGTTCATTGCTACCGGATTTGCAATATTACCAAGTTAATGAGCACTCATGAAGTATTGTGTACATCAATTAGGATTGAAGTTTGTTGAACAATGGCAAAAAAGTGCCACTACTTCCAGCTGAATATCAACCTGTAAGTTATGGACTCTTTTGGATTTCACTCTTGAGGAAGAAAGACAATCTACCCAAACTCTGTTCGATTTATACCACGGATACCACTTCCCTGTGTCGTATTTAATGTGCAGAGTTGTAACTTTCTCAAATATTTTTGATCTGGTATGAATCTGGCATGATAATAATAACAATAGTAATAATAAAAACAATGATAACAATGGCAGAACCAACTGGCATACGTTTTGTCCAAGATCAAATAAATTTAACGCTTCTGATTAGACTTAGTCTAGGAAACAATTGTGTGCTGNAGACTTAGTCTAGGAAACAATTGTGTGCTGTAAACGCAATTGGATGTCAAGATCTTTATCAGACAGTTTATCATAAAATTTAGGCATCGTGAACTTGTTTTGTCTTGAAAATCGGTTCCCTTATCTCTCGTGGACTGAATTCATTGTTGCCTGTTTGTCGAGCTTGGCAACACTGAAGATGTCACCGCGGCTAGTGATGAAACCCTTGCAACCAACTTGCCAAGTTCGGCAACCAGGCGAAATTGAATACATATTTTGTGTGTGCCCATCAAGTAGTCTTCATCATTTAAATGACTTAAAAGTTGACCGGTAAAACCATGGCTTAAAAGCAGACGTTTCAGATCCTCACGTTTTATATCGTTCTTGGATGATTCAGATGCGAATTTATCTTCCCGAGAGAGAACGACTGACGTTCAACCCTTTTCGGGAGATCTCTTAACTTGCCGTCTTCGATGACATCAATCCACAATCTGCACCAGACCTCAGCATGCTTAACCTAATATTCAATTTTGGAAGGGCTCACATGTAAAATCCTGTTCAAGATTAAATGCACGCCACCCCAGGCTGCGTTTCTTGAGCTAAAGAAGTGGTTCTTATTGCTCAGTTACCGGGAAAATCTCCGCACAGTCGTATGCAGTCGAATGATAATCTAGCTCTCAACAAAGCGAGAATCAAGGTGAATTTTGTCCGACTAATGTAGACATTAGAGAATGAAATTCGCCTCCTCCCGGGATTTACCGCGAGTCTGAGGCATTGAGGCAAACCATTTATTGCATCAGTTCAAGGATTTCCGATCACAGGCTGTTCCAAGGAAGTTTAACACAAATTTTGACTGGGTTGTCTCAAATGAAGTCAGATTCCAATTAGTGTGATAAAGCATTTCAAAGTGACGAAACCTCCAGATCTATCCCCATTTTGTAAAACCTATCATTCACACTTACTGGTTCTCAGCATTCTACTCGAGGCTTATATTCAAACGGGGCAACGTAAAGATGCAAGTCATTTGGTTGATGTGGCAGCCGGTGGACCAGCTCGTCATTTACCGCAACAAATGGTTCAGCTGTTGGTCAGAGCCAGCGCATCCAATTTGGCCAGTGCGGAAAGGAATATATCCTGGGCAAGCGGAGTATCTGGGACCTCTGATACAGATGCGACCGGAAGTGATAAGTCTACAGTGGCCTATGTGGAAGGGCATAAACGAACAAATTATCCGCAAATGAGCGGACAATTGGCACAAACGTTACTTCAATCGGGAATGCTTCCTGCTAATCGAATTGCCAAGTTGAAAGTCCAGTAAGTCCAGTTAGATCAGCCTATGTGATTTTCGATTATGCTCTTGCGATAATAGATTACATTGAGCAAGTGATATAAACCAAAATCTCATCACCACGATTATCTTTATTGAATAAGACTGATATCGACTAATTCTCCCATTCCCTTGAGAGCCCCTGTTTAGAGAACGGCTCCTAAGTTTATCGAGTCCGCTTTGAAGGTGTCTCCGATTAACGGAGTTTCATCATTTCTGTCTTGAGTTAATCGCAGGCGCATTAATCAGAATTGCGATATACATCATCTTCTTTCAAACAAGCAACAACAAAAAACGGAACAAAGGGGTTGGGATAGAAAAGNTAGAAAAGAGAGGGGGAAACAGTTATGGTGTTTAAAAGTAATAACATTTTTTGTTAATTTCATCGTACACCATTTTATGTTTTTGTGTTAGTTTATTGTTTCATTTGCGGGAATTTCAACAGGCAGACCATAAAGCTTTCGCACCACTGACTTCTACTCTGGATCACTTTATTTGTTTGACCTTCTTTTCACTCCGTTCTGTATTCTATTCCACCCTGGTATCCTTATTGTTACTTTTGTGGCCATGAGACCATGCTTGCCCTCAAGCTGCTGTTAAAAATATATTTTTCTTTTAGAGTAACTAACCAGCGGCAATCCTCATCCCTTGGAGCCCAACCTAGAAGGTGGGCTGCACCAACCGAGGACTGAGCCTCTTTCTTCCTTCACCTCTTGTCATGGTCTGACCGCCGTGACGTTTCTTCCACCCTTGCCCAGCACGTGCAAGAGAGCACGGAAAGGTAGTCGATGGGCAGGCATACGCAATACATGGCCAAGCCATCGGAGGTGGTGTAGAGCGATTAATTCTTTTAGCGGACGACTACCCAGACCCATCATACGATGACGAAACTCGTCATTGCTCACTAGATGTCCCCACCAGACACATGCGATGCTTCGGAGAAATCGGTGGTTGATCATGGAGAGTCGATTGGCATTTCCAACACGGAGGGTTCAGGTCTCCCAATCAGAAAGTAGATCACTTAGAACCACGGCGATGTACACCCTTCCCTTACGAGATAAACGGATGTCATAGCATCGCCACAGGTTTCGCAGGTTGGTAAAAGCTGTTCTGGCTTTCGCTATTCGTGATGTGATCTCCTCTCCAACACCATCACCAGCTTCAATCAAGTTCCTGAGTTATTCAATGCTCTCAACCACTTCTTGCTAATCACCACAGAGGCTGAATGCAGGTACAGGCTCCTGCCAGTTTTGAACAAGCACTTTGCACTTTGATAGTGCAAAGCCCATACCTGGATGTCTCTATCGCCAAGCGGTTTAAAGAGTTTAAAAGTGTTTAAAGCATTCTGTATAACATCCTCCTTGGCAATGTTGAAGAGAAATGCGATGCAGTTCATTTTAGCTGTTTTGGAAGTGTGATTGCACTGAAAGATTAGACATAACGAAATACATTCCAAACAAATGGATAAACCAATCGATGAATCAAAAAAATATTGTATAATATGCTAATAAAAATTAACCGAAACTCCGGTTCAATCCGTGGCTGCGTTAATTTTCACATTCCAATTACCCGGCATTTAATTAAACTTTTTATCCTGCTTTTGCTGTTGTTCATTTGCAGAAACAAAGAAACTGGAGACCAGCTGGATGAGATTGTTCGATTGTTACGTGTGCTCAATCCGTCCGAGGAGTCCACTGAAGGACGGACAGGCCGATCCGAGCAGCTATCTGTCCCCGTCACCGATTCCAAAAGAACTAACGACAGTACGGGTGCAGGAATGACCGCCGGTGAAGATGACTGGTCTGAGCGTTACCAGTTCTTTCCAGATGACACGTAGGTTGCAAAGTGACGTTCATTGATTTTGGCTCTTTAAGGAAAAAAAAGCAAATTTTGCTTACATCCAGGTTTAGAAAATATTAACTTGTACTGATCATGGATATAATTTTGAGTTTTTAAAATCGGTTCTTCAACGACCGCAGTCATATCTTCAATGCTCGTGAAGTGGCAGTGTTCTGCTTACACTCGCTTGCTTTTATAAATTCTTTGCTATTGACTATTTGTGCCTCCTGTTCTCGCTGTTCTACCTGTTTCACCGTTTAACTTACGTCTTACAAGAGGGCCTTGTTCTTCTCTCTGGATAGCGGCTTTCGGTCCGTTTGGGGGTCACGACGTGAACTTTTGTTGCGTCATTTGATCCTTGGGTTGCATTAGCGTGTGCTGGTGGTCCAATACGGTGTGTCTGTTTAGTGAGTTGACTGAAGGGTGCCAAGCCTCGAGAAATTCTATTGCGTTTTGACTGGGCTTGATCAATGATTCTCACTGATTCCAAGTTAAACTTATGTCATTCTTGTTCTTCGTGGCGAGAAATCAATGAGAGCGAGTCGTGCCTCCTGACTGCCAATCGATGTACACGGACCCGTGTTCATAGTTTTCTTCAAGTTTATCCGAATAAAGTATTTTTGACAGTCCTTGAAATTTATTTGTGTAGAAACATGTGTTTTCCGCATCCATTCGCCTTACAATTCAGTCTCGTCGAATATGGGTCGTATATCTGCTGCCAGTTCATTTAAACACCGTTTCATGAATGATCCCTAAATGGGGTTCAGTCCAGTTCATGTGACTGGATGTTGACCAGGATTTAATCTCTACCTGTACCCCTGCTCGCTTATTGAAATTCTGCAATTGATTATCTCAATAAAAAATCATATGATTTACTATCCCGCGCTGATGTGTTTGCACGCATGCACTTAATAACCGATAACGTCTTTATGAAATAACTTCTTTTGACTATCCACTGGATTAAAGATTTTAAAATTTATGCTCACTGCTTGAGATCCATGTTTAGAGTTCTATTATTTTTGAGGGGACTCTCATTCCTGACGCTATCAGATCACAGTTTGTCCCGGATATTCTACTTGTGAAGTATAAACTTTCCGCTCAGAGGCTATCTAATTCAGTTTTCTGATGTCCCTTGTTGGTACGGTTCTTCGGAGCTCACTTTACATATCTATTCCCAACTAGTTTTTCTGGTCCCGATAAATCTTTTTGTTACCTGTTCCTCTTGTGTCCGTCATTCATTCGCAAATCGAATACACATTTTTGCCAACACCGCAGGTTCAACCTACTGTTCCAATTGGGTCTAATCGCCGTTTCTCGTAAACTACCCGGAGTTGTGACGGCCTGTGTGCGTGCTTGCAGAAGAATTCTTTCCCAGGAAAAGATGACAGTAAGCTATAAAAGCTATATAAAATATAACCTATTCCATTTTGCCTGTTCGCCGAGCTTGGCAATTTGTTTGCAAACGTTTCATCATCAGCCGAGGTGACATCATCAGTGCTTGTGAAGTGGCAGTGTTCTGTCTGTAACCGTTCGTTTATATATGCGATCTTCTCCATCGGCTATTTTCGTCCCCTGTTCTCGCTGTGTTCGACTCCGTCCGCCGTTGAACTGTTGCGAGCGG